CAACTGTTGAGTCCGCTGAATGAGCCCAATAAGAGCTCTATTTTTTATTGCTGTACTCTCTGAAGAGTGCATCGTGTGCACCAGTTCAGAGAGTGCAGCAATAGCAAAAACAGACTTTATATTGGGCGCATTCAGCGGACTCAGCAGTTGAGTGAGCGCTTGCTGTCATTGGTGTATTCTTTTAGCTCATCCAATCAGAATTTTAGATCTAGAAGAATACATCAATAGCAGCGAGCGCTCATTCAACTATTGAATTTGCTGAATGCGCCCACTGGCTGCGTTCAGCAGACTCAACAGTTTTGCAACCGTTTTATGATTGTCTGCTGAGATAGGACCATTCTTCTAGATCTAAAAGTATGATCCAATTAGCGCGAAGGAAACTTCCAACAGTTGCAAAACAAACGTTCTGCTGAACGCAGTATCCATACGGCTGCCTTCTCATGGAAAAAGAAACCATGGAACGGAACATTGACAGAAAAGAGATAGGATGAAGGTATCCTCATCTTATCTCTTTTCTGACAATATTCCGTTCTGTGGTTTCTTTCTCCATAGGAAGGCAGCCTAAGACGTACCGTAAGAATCAGCCAATCACAGTAGAGAATTCTTTTGAACTCTTAATTCTAATTGGCTGATTCTTACGGTACGTCTTATGCCGGTTCTACAATAGAGTCGCTAGTCGTGAGCCGTAAGAAATTAACCAATCGTAGTCGATTATTCTTCTCACACTTAACTCTGATTGGTCAATTTCTTACGGCTCACGACTAGCGACTCTATTGTAGAACCGGCATTATGGTTACTGTTACGGAATGTGTGTGCCATGGCCTTTAAATGGAACGCAGCCATTGCCGCACGTTGTAGGCTTGCGCAGTTTCGACAAGATTCAAATTGTTTGAAAGCCAACGATTTTCTAAGCGTCTGTTTTGTGATCCATCTTCATTTCTTCTCTGCCGTTCTCTCAATTTTATTCCTGATTTTCGATAGTATGGCCGAGAATAGTACGCCGCCGAGAAAGAGGATAACAAATAAAACTGAATTAAATACTCCCATAAAAATACCATCTTCGCCTTTCCTGCAAAAAATAGGCTATGGCTCGGGTATGTATTTACCTCGCAAAAATGCTTTTTTTTTTGTCATATTTACTTAAGTTACATCCTAAGATCTCTTCTCCGAGAAAAATTTTATTTGAAATGTAGTAGATGTAATGTGCTATGTTATATCGAATAAAAGTTTCTTTGAAGAGTTTTTGGAATGTAGCCCTAATCAGATGTCCTGATTTTATTCATTTGCCAAATTGTAAAATCATAGATTATATTTTACTATTTTATTATTTTACATTTTGCTATTTTTTACTTTTTGCTATTTGTTTGTTTTTTTCCTTTTATTCCATTTTCGTTTTCTATCACACGAGGTAAAAGTTAACAAACTTTGAAAGAAACAAGGCGAGACAATTATCGGCTGCAAAAAGGAAAAAACCAAGAAACAGGAAACAAAAAATATATTGTACAATAGGTTTTAATGCAACAGTTGAATGAGTGTTCTCTGCAATGAACAAAGAATGTGGATAACAGAAGAAAATTCAACCTTGAGTTTATATTTTTAAAGCAGTATTAATAACGAAAATTAATTTTGATTTCAATTGTTGAGAATATTATACATTTCTTAAGAATATTTTTCTTATTTAAGCAGATAATTTTGAATAGAAATATAATTATATTTTTTTTTTTGTTTTTTGAAAATAGATAGCCGTTGTATTTATATCTATAAATTTCTTTCTCCTCTCTGCTTAATAAAATTTCCTGCTTTAGATCCAAAAATATCTGATTATTATATATAATTATAGTTGCTTTTCTATTTATCATCCAAATAAGGAATAAAAAATATTCAGAATAACTTGGACCAAGTTGTGATTAATTTAACCAACGATTGATTTAATATGTGATTAACTTATATAAAACTTATATATAAAATTTGTATTATTTTGCTAAAATAGATGAGTTATTGTTCTTTATTTATGTACAAGAAAAAAGATTAGATTAGGGATGATGAATCATATAAAAATTTTTAATACTTTATTGTATTGCTATATTTATAATTTTATTATTTATTGAGCTTGAATCTATATTATATTTTATTTCCATGCCTTCTATCAGGAGTTGGAGTGTACATGTTTGAAAGATCGTCCAAAGTAGGCTCTGAACTCTCCCCATGGGCAATAAAGAAATGGCTAAAAGGAAAAAGCAATAAGCATAATGATAAACGTCTCCAATTAGAAGCTGATATCCTACGACAATTGAGCCATCCCAACATCATTGGTTTCAGAGCATTCACCAAAGGAGAAGATGGAAAGCCTTGCTTGGCTATGGAAGTGCTGGATATGTCACTTGGTATTTATAGAGTTAACTAACTCGAACATTTTTAAAATGTGTTTGTATTAATATTAACATGGCAAATCAGGTGACAGAATTGAGAAGAGACGGAAGATCAAGAACAAACCATTCCCAGCCAAGAAAATTTTGAAAGTCGGTTTTGAAATTGCAAAAGGTCTCGAGTATCTACATCACGCTGCATACATATTACATGGAGATATAAAAAGTTGGAACATTTTGGTGTCCAATGATTTCAACACAATTAAACTGTGTGACTTTGGAAATTCTTTACCCTTGACAAAATCTTTAGAAATGGACACGTCAAACGGCTATTTTTCTTATGTTGGGACAAGTTGTTGGAATCCTCCTGAGGTTATATCAGGTACGTTTGCTTGTTCAATTATATGTTAATTTTTTAATTTTCAAAATCGTGATGTACCGAGTTTATAGTTCATAATTTTTTAAATCATTACTTCAGCAATCTTATTTCTACATTTATGTTTGATTTATGATATTTGTGTCTGATTTTTAAAAAAATTGTTAAATTTTTCTTGCAGAAAAAGGACCAGTGACGAGTGCTAGTGACATTTGGACATATGGCCTTGTCCTTTGGGAAATGATAGCTTTAGTACCACCTCACTGTGAAGATTTTGACGAATCTTTTGATAACTCCACTACAATGGAAGACATGAAAAATAATCAGCTTGAATCTGATGTTAGTATAGACGAAAGTATGACTGATCTCAAAGAGATAATGCCACACAGTAAATATGGTAAGTAGCAATTTGAAATGTGCCCATTAATTATAATGTTATTTGAAGTAAATTAGTCAGGGTTGGTAAGAAACATGTTTTAAACGGGTTTTAAACAGTTTAAAACATGCTTAGATGTTTTTAATGTTTTAAAATGTTTTTTATAATACTGTTTAAAGCATCTTTGAAGTATTAAAAACGTATTTAAGAAGAAGCAATGTTTTATTTACAAAAAAAAAAACAGTCTTTACCAACCCTGAAATTAATAGAAATAAATTAATAAAATTCTGATCTTATATATATAGGTACACGTCCAGCTCTACCTGCTATTGACTTGAGCAAAGATTATGATAACATATTGGAAATATTTTTTATATGTACCACAAATTACAAATTGAGACCCAGTGCAAAAAGACTAGTAAAATACTATCAAAAATGCGCAAAAATTGATTTAAGTAACAAAAAATAATTGAAAGTTATAATTATGTAAATTCATCGTATACATTTTTATTCGTAATATACATCAACATTAAAGTATTTTAAAATAATAATAATTAAATCGAAGGGCTACGAGCCAAAAATTAAAACCGTGTATTTTTATATCTTAATTATGATTAATGTATAACTTTATACTTATTTTGCCTTTTTGTAATTTCGGGAAAAAATTTTTTTAAGTATACTTTATGTCATTAACAGAACTATGATTTTCCATCAGACATGAATTAAACAGAAAATTCCGCACATGACTAATATTTTCGGATAACTAACGTCGCACATGAGACAGGATACTTTAATACTATGTATCATCGACGAATAGACAGCATTTCCAATCATTTTTTTAATAACCGCCAAAGTATGTCACTCGTTTAAAATTTGTTTTTATATTTATGACATTGATAATGACCCGATCGGTGTCGAAACATATGTTTGTATTTTTCGTTGAATATTAAAGTTTTAATTTTTGGCTCGTAGCCGTTCGATTTTATTATTATTGATTTGAAATTATTGGCCCATTTTCTTACTTTTATATTTTAAAATAAACTACATTCGTAAGGTATCTTATAAGATTATATGATATGTGAAATAGTTTCTAAAATGACGCAATGATAAATAAAAGACATATTATCACTATTATACTTATGATAATAGCAATCTTGATTTTCCTCTGTAAGAATAATATATTCATTATATCATCCTACCAAAAATAACTAAGTATCCAAGTGTTTATAATACCTTTCTATATCTGTGACTCCTCTGTTCTGACTTTCTGAGTTGAACACGTCCGCCGTCGATATTATCCGTGGTTTTATTGGCAAAATATTCTATATTATTAATTTGTTCCCCCTAGAAAAAAATTCTAAATGTAATATTTTCTAAGTTACACGTTTAGTAATGCTACGTAATTTATAAGATATAATTTTGTTACCAACAGCTTGCATTCACCTGTTTTTCGACTAGAAATGCTATTTCTGCAAACATATCTCTGATTTCTGTGAGAGATTTTTCTAATTTTAGAACATCATTATGTCTACTTGTTATATCTGATAATTGTTGCCTAGCTATTTTACTATCTTCTAAAATCTGTATATAATTAATCAGGTATTTGATTACGAATAAAAAGATTTGTAATAAATACTATTGTAATGGTAAATTTATATTTACATTATCGACAAATAAGCTAGTTTCTTGAACATCGAGCATATGATCCAATTCCGCGCTAGTAACTTGTCGCCTTACTATTCAACAAAGTTAATTCATAAATAATGTATATATGCGTTATATTATAAAGAATTTTTTAATTAGTCTCTTATAATTTAATAATTATAACAATATAATATTGAGGATTTATAAATATAAATATAAATATTATAAGAATATATGTATATTGATTTCTTATGAAAACGTACGTAGTGAACGTTGCTGCTGCAAGAGTAAGAGGCACTTGTCATGATATTTCAGTAACGAGCCATTATAATCGTCCATAATATCAGAAAACATTTGCAGCATAGTTGTATATTGCAATGTTCTAATTCTCGTGTATACACTGTATACAGGTTCATCTTGCGCTATAGTCAAATCGTCAATGGCAATGATACCTTTTCCCATATCTACAAAGGATGCATAAGTAGAACTAATAAATAAGAACAAATTAACACACATCTAAATTGAATATATTACATGGATATATTACATGGAATATATTGCATGGATAAATGCAGTAAATTTAAATAAAATAAATAATCAGGAGATCAGAATTTTACATAGATACACAAATTTTGTAATTCTCATTAATAAACATATTTATAACTATCGAAAATTTTAGTTATATGTATTAGACAATTTCTTATTATAATATATTACATAATAACAATTATATAATTATATTATTATTATTATAATTACATATATCAATATAAAAATTAATTGCATAGTAATTAATATGAACAAATATTAATCTATTATATATAATATCATAGTAATTGCGATCATAGTTAACTTAACTTTATTAATTTTGTAAAGCCATTAATTTTAACTTTATTCAGTTAAAAAAAAACATTAACTTATCCCCAACCCTGCTACAAGAATATTTATATATAATGTGCATCGGTATGTAAGTTCAAAATTTCGAAGTTATGTGTGTATAGCGAATTCGATTGGACACACTCAGTCCATACTGGTGCATATTAAAGCCGTTGTAATAAATTGGTATAAAGAGGTATGGTTAATATAAATATAGAAACAGGTTAAACTGTGAAATCCTCAATACATTTTATTGTTTTTAAGTAAAATATGTATTTTATAATTCGAAATACTTGCATTTCACTTTTACACTCAGATTAAATCAGTGTACAACGGCTTTAACATGCATCAGTGCGTCCAAGAATTATTTATATGTAGTGCAATCAAACAATACAGCTATTCCAATGGCTTTAGATCAATTTCTATCAATTTAGATCAACTTTAATCTCGAAGTAATTTACTCTTTTCTAATTCTTAAAACTAGAGGAAGATAAAATAAGTTAATTAATCTACATTATATCTACATTTTTAGAAATGGACGTTATGGAGATGATTGGTCAGATAAGTCGGATTGGTTATTCAGTTTCCCGCTCGTACATGGACGATGGACACTGTTGATCGCTTGACGTATCCCGTAACGGCGATCGAAATGTTTTATAATAAATTCTTCACGAAGGTAATTCTCGCTGGTCATTTGTACCATGGAAGCAGGATCGTAAAATCATTATCGATACACTTGCAGAAGATGATAACCTGAAACCCTGCCGATTTATCTGTTGCGCTATCGTGACGATAAGTTAAGGTTATATTTACGTCTGTGGGGGCCGCGATCACGAGGGAAGACGATTGATAGTAAACTGCGTTTTGAAATCGGCACAGAGTCATGAAATCGCTGCGTGTGTTTCATAATTTCAAGCTGGACATTCTTGACGAGAGTTGGATCAAATCGGTCTGGGACGGCGAGTTTGTCATTTATGACGAGCCGCCTGACGAGTGTCTCGAGTACCTGGAGAGCGACGACGTGAGGCGGCTGCTACGAGAGTCCCGCCTCGAGCTGAAGGCATGGCTTGTCGCGAACGAGCACGAGACCCCCGAATTCTCGTGGCAGGCCTTGATGATGCTGAACATCAATATGCGTAGTTTGCTTGCCATGCTGGGTTATATAATGAAGACGGGCCAGCAAGAGACAGACAAGGACTCCAGGCAGGCCTGTCTGGAAGCCACAAGTTTGTATCTTATGTTCCTCACGATACCTGGCAGCAACGCGTTCAGAGTTTACCATCCAAATTTGTACCAGAGAGCGGTTGAGACATTGAAAATGTCAGAGAGCTTATTCTCCTCCTTTAGAAGCAGTAAAGGGGTAAATACGACAAATTTGAGTATCGACGATGAATTATCATTCTGTTCCAGTCTGTTGCATTCCGAGAGATTGAGACTCGCGCGAGGATTAGACAGAATTATTTCTGATCTCGTTACAATGTTGAAATCATTTCGCTTTAAAGAACACGCCGAGGCCTTGGATGTTACAATACGCATACTGTTAAATATCACAAGACTGGAAATGTACATCAAGTCTCACGACAATTCTGGAATAACGTCTTTGTCTCAGAACGCGTTTGCAGCTCTGCAAGAGCTATGCAGTAGCAATCACGGAACTGTAGCTTTAACTATAATGTTAATAGTGCAATATATGTTGCCTGATTTGTTATTTCATCACATAAATGCACAACCAAAGTCTATAACCATTGTACACGAAGCAGCTATATATTTTCTGAAAAATTTATTAACGATTCACAAGCAGGAAACCATGCAGGGAATTGTCACTTTAATACATCAGTTGATGGTAAACTGTCCAGAAAGATTGGAAGGCCGTCAAAGGCAAGCGGTTGTTGTAATAAAACTGTTGAATATATGTAACGAAGATATGGTTCTCGGTGTTTTTAGAGATATAGTATTATTCTCACATAATAGTAAGATATCTTATAGATTATTCGCGCAGGAAATTGTAGGAAAGCTCTTGACAGAATCTTCTCTATCGAGTAACAACTTAAACAAAAACGTTAAGATGAAAATTAGAAGGATTTTGATAGCCATTGTACTGTCTCGTTGTATGGATCGCTCTGCTTTAGTGAGAGGAAGAGCTATGGCTACGCTTGCTTCGTTTTCCGATTGCAACGACGACGCTGACAAGGTGATTTTTAAAAGTATATTTGAAGCTTCAGCCTCAAATAAAACGATTCCCATGCTTGATGAGCTAAAAGAAGCGTTACTGGAGGACGTTGATCTGCTACCAGGATCAACCGCTTTAATCGCAATGTTGCTGGACAGAATCAACGACGAGCGTGCACTGGTCCGACGGAGTGCTTTGAAGATTTCGAGAAACCTATCCATCATGTTCCCATCGCTAGTAAGTAAAATGATGCACGTAATAAGTGATCGTTGCAGAGATTCCACCTTGACTGTACGCCAATTTGCCGTGCACGTTCTATCCGAGATTCTGCAGGAGTTCCCTCACAATTCAAGTCTTCTCGACGAATGGATACAGGCTGTTGTACCGCAGATATATGACATCGAAACAAAAGTACAAGAGAAGGTGCTGGAGTGTTTGGGAAATGTGTTGATAAATAGAATAATGAGCGCCACTAAGTATATTCCGAATGCTGCGAATAGCTTGCCGTGGAGGATTCTGGATAGATTGAGTAACCTGAGAATGAGGAAACATCTGTCGAAAGCTTGCAGCTTGTGGGTGAAGAACGGTGTTATTACCAAGTCTATGATATCGAATTTGCAATCGCACATCGGTACAGATAACACTATAGACGCGTGGATACTGTTGGCCGCTCTAGCCGAGAATATGAAGATTCCGAATATAGATAAGTATATCGCGGATTATAAGGAAGTTATTCGAAAGAACGATTTCCACGCGAGTTTAGTTTTACACGTTTTGAGGCACGCTTGGTCCGTCTTGAATCACGATTGCCTCGAGGATCTCTATCAGCATCTTTACAAATGTATTTGCCACTTCGAAATCAATTTCAATTTAATCAGCATTTGCCTGGATATTTTGAATAGTATCTTACGATATTTGCACGCCGACCAGAGCAGCCATATGATAGAATCGGATATGGTGGAACTGATGAAATTGTCGGAAATGGAGATTCAAGATTTGTTGAAGGAGAACAGAAATTATACGCAAGACACAGTGAAAATCAGAGCTGTATTTACACTGGGCCACGCATCGCTTTTCTGCACCAACAAGATTTCGTTGCCAACTTTACGAATTTTTGAACGATTACTGTTGCAATGGGAATCACTACCAGATTCGGTGAAAGAAATAAAGGATCTACAGGCGTCCGCGGTGGTTCTTCTCTGTCAGCAAGCGCTGAGAGATCGGGAAGTCGCGAAAGAAGTCACACCGATACTTAGTAACATAATGCGTCAGGAAACGAATCCGAATTCATTGATAAAAACATCGGTCAAGATAAACGCTGCGAAAGCGCTGGCCGATATCTGCGTGAGATTTACTGCTCTTGTGGAGCCGTATCTTCCGGACTTATGCATCAGCATGAAGGATCCGAATCCAGCTGTACGAGAAGCTATAGTGGTGATATTTATTGAGTTATTGCTGGAAGATTTTATAAAGATGAAAGGACCATTTTTCTTTCACATATTGACGATGCTATCGGACACAAATAACATGATACGTGAGTTAACAACCTTCCTAGTGGAAGAGAGACTTTTAATGAAGAACAAGACTTTGATTTCTCAGCAGTTTCTGGAGAGCATATATCATTACAACAATTGCCGCTCCCGGAAAGCGTATTACGGACATAGAATGCTCGAGCAGGAGATGAAACTTCTAACTCTGCCTGGAAGAGCGAATCAAGATAAACGTAACGTCATCTACGAATTTATGTTGGAGCATCTGGACATGTCCGCGAAGTCGGAACTCGTTATGAAATTGACCAAGTATATATTTCGCGAGGTATGCGATGAGAATTCTATCGATGTTATGACCGAGGAAGGTGCATGCGTCTTGAGAGATGCAGTGTTTATACTCAACAATAATCGTTTGCAATTATCTCTTGGTGAAAAACACAAGGATGATGCGGAGCTTGATGAAACAAGCTCAACTCCCTCAAGTACGCCTAACAATGCTTTGAATGTTATTATAACGGCGTTGAAAAAACATAATTTAGATGTTTTATTACCTACATTAATTACGCTTAAGAAAAAATTAGTTGCGTTGAAGTCTCCCTTGGAGGAAGATGTGGACAGATTGTTATTCAAGATTTACTCGGAATATGAAAAAGAGCAGCTGATCAATTTATTAGATGAATATCCTGAATTAGAAAAAGAAATGGATCGTTATCAACGGTATGTATATATCAGTTTATAAATGACTGCTTCACTTTATTCTAATGTATAATAAAATCATAAAGTTCTTGTGCATTCTGATTTTCTACAGATAAAAATTAGTTTTGACTTAAACTTAACGATTATGAAAGAGATGTATTGAAGTTTGTATATCTTTGTACGAAATGTTTTTTTTTAATAATTTATTTCATCAAAAATATATACTATATAAATATATATTGATGTAATCATGTAATGTTTCAGGAGACTGAAAGATAAAATTAATTCAGAAAACGATGATGGTAAAAGCAGTTCGTCGCCCAGTATAAGTAACAAGGATTCGCTAGCAGATGAATGTAAGCGAACAACACCCCGAATTTTACTTCAGCGTATTTCACCCTCGACACATGCATCTGATAACGAATTAATTACAAGTCCGGTGCATCTGGAAAGATTGTTGCTACAAACCCCACCTCCAGAGCCGAGCTTTGGTACTAGCACGCCTACATTGACGCAAAATCCAAAATCGTATTCTAGCGATTTTCCCGCTAAAGGAAAAAGATCGAACGAGCGAGAAATGTCACCGAATATTTCTCCGAAAAAATCTAAAGGTCAGCGATGAATGAACTGATCGATGTTTAATGCCAATTTTGATCTCACTTTCATCACGTCTACGGAATCTATGTACAAATTTACCTACCTCGTAACTTTCGCTGCACGTGAAAAGCCGTCTGCGAAATCGTACACGTGCGAGTCTCTAATTCTTTTTGCAAGTCTACAAATAGATATATGTATAAGTACATTATACATAAATTGTAGATTTTTCATACGACTTTTGGATACTGCCACTTACCCTTATTCGTGTGCGATAGGATATTGTTATGCAAGTTCTTCACTATAGAAACATTTTCAACTATAAGGTGGATCAGACCGCGTATTTCCTCGGCCTACATCAACACACTGTGTTTCAATCATTTCGATTATGAGAATGTAAGATATATGGTTTCATGATAACTCGATACATTCATACGTACTTCGTCAAGTAACTCTTTAAGCTTTTTATTTTGAGCTATTTGAAGGTGTACGTCCTGCAAGAATCCTCTACCAAAAGTACTGCTGTTGCTTCGGCTCTGGAGAAATTAGTGCATTATATGATAATTTCGAGACTGTTCATTTGCATGAAAACATTTTCTGTAAAAGTTTTATTATATAATAAAAAATATAAATATTTATAATTATTAATTATGTGCACACAATACTTCTGTACTGCGGTTTTCAATGATAAGCGAAAGTAACGATAAGTTGATTCGAAAGCGAACATTTTTATTGAAACTTTTATTTGCACGCATGATTCATGTATTGTTCGAGACGATATACTCAATAACTGATGGTCAAGATCCTTTCTTTTTCGATACATTTCTAATAACTACAGAAAAAGTAAAAATACTAACGGCACGCAAATCAGCCATACGATCGCGGACCATGATGAATATTCCTTTAGAATCGGCATATAACTGATAATTCTGTGAGTGGAATAAATACAGTATGCTTCGTCTTATCTCTCTTATCAGTACACTATGAATATCGGGTAAAATTCGTTCTGCCGTTTCATACCTTGTAGTCGATACATTCAGTCAACGGAGAAGCACTCTACCACGAGTGCTTCTTCGACTGAAACGCGTGACACGCTTCTAACGTGTACATAGGTAGAAGATACTTTGCATCTGAAATGAAATAGGAAATGGGCACTTAGCAGCTGTGCGTCAGAAGGCCGTTGCAATTATAAGTTTCTTTATCTAATTTATTAATTTGAGCGATAGATTATGTTAGTGTTAAAAGATGTTATTTGTTTGTAAAATTATAATACTAAAAACGAAGCAATTACATTTTTAAAAGTAATTTTTATCATTCAACTTAATCATTGATTTTTTTCTGTCTAGAAATTTTTTCTTTTTAATATTCAAATTAGTAATGCTTATTTAAAATAGAACTTGATAAAAAAACATATTTTTGATATTAAAGGTAAGTTTAGATAAGTTTACAATATGAATACTGCCAGATTCTTTTTCTTATATAAAAATATTTATAAATTTATTTACAAGGCACATAAATAATGTGCCCTGAAATAAATGCAAATGTACAATTGTTTTAATAAGTTGACATTTGCTAAATAATTATTTAGAAACTTTCTGGAAAATATTTTGTTCTATATTTTAATTAAATTTAATATTTAAAAAGAGAAAGTAATACAACACAGAACAGAAAAACTATTTTAATTATTTTTAATTAGTTGAAAATTAATAAATTTAAAATTGATTTTATTGATAAAAATATATACGTAATTGTTAATTATTACATTGTCACTTACAATTTGCAATAAATTTAATATTACAATATGAAAGAAAGAGCTCATCAAATAGAATTGTAAAAAAATTTTAAATGTGTGTGATAAATGTAGTTTTCCATTTATTTTAAATTATAGCATTCCGAATATTATGTGAACTATTCTGTGATATTTCGCAAACCAAACCTGGCTAATTTCATTGTATGTACATACGTATAAATTAGTCATATAAGCAAAAAGAAATTAATGATAAACATTAAACAGGAGTACAAATAATATTAATTTAGCAATAGTTGTATAAAAGTATATATATGCGCATATAATATATTTCAAGGAACAATGATCGAAGTTGTTTCATGTAACGAAGTATATTATAACATAATTTTATACATTAGAAGTCACCTGCTTTCTTTATGGAGAACTTTATTATTCTTTTTGCACTTTTTCGTTAACAATAACGATAATTACATCTAATGAACAGTGCTGTTTGTTAGGAAGACAGGAGTACTTATTACTTTTCTACAGAGCTAAAATCGTTACAAAATATTTAAATATTATTTTAAAGTAAAATGTTTAAGTATCACTGTGTATTCTAACTTCGATAGAAGTTTATTTTTTAATAACTGAGTGGTAATATAAACGATATTCATGCGTTCAATTACTATATTTTTAAAGAAGATTATCTGGTGCGCGTCGATATTCTATTTTAGATATATAATAAAATATTTTAATTTCTAAACAAATATGACTTTATCGCCTTGCACATCCCTTACGCAGTAGAATAGATAAAAAATTTGGAATTTATATCTGTACCTACAATAAGAAAATATTTATCTCAAGGCAAATCAGTCAGTCTTATAAACTCGTTAATTTCAATAAATCAACTGATGTTTTTCCCGTTAATTATATTATAACCAGTATAATAATTTTATAGACAGACTGCTGATATATATATATATATATATGAAATTTTCATTGCACGTAATTGCATGAGATTACTACTGATGAGATGAAGTTTATAAAATCTATTAGAGCGAATTTTCGATTGGACACATTAGTGCATATTAAAGTTGTCGTACATTGATTTAATCTGAATGTAAAACTGAAATGCAAATATTTTTAATTATAAGATGCGTACTTTACCTAACAACATGATAAAGTATAAATTAAAAATTAACTTTCCAAAGGCTTAACGAATTATAAATTTCAATAAGGGTAATAAATAATGGCAAAGAGCCTAGTATACTACAATTTTGGAAATTGTAATATATAAATATATAATTATTTGAGCACCTACATTGTGCTAAGTTCTCTTTGCCATTATTTATTACCTTTAATGATAAAGTATATTGAATATTTCATAGTTTAACTGATTTCTACATTTATAATAAACATATTTCTTTATGTCAATTAGTGTACGACGACTTTAATGTGCACTAGTGCATACTGAGTGCATCCAGTCGAATATGCTGTATGTGTTACTTACTGTAGAATATAATAGAATGAAGTAGATTATATTTTAATGTTCACAACATTCTAGCGTTATCTTGTACATTTGACAATAGAAAACAGTATTAAAATATTTTTACCGAAATTTACAGTAGAACGGAATATCATGATTATATACACTATGTAACAATGGGTCTGTTTGTTTCAATCGTGCGTTTTTATTATTTTCAATACTTAAAAGGAAACAGGTTTTTGGAGTGAAAAAGAACGATAAAAACAAACAGATCCTAATCACTTTCATAAAGACAAATTCTTGCTCAATCTTTATTAATATAATTAACTTACTCTGGTCAACGTATCCGCTGTCATTACTGCATGAAATTAAATTTCTCTTCATGGTCACATCTTTCGCGTGTTTAGTGTGATCATTAATATCATTTATGTAGTACAGAGTAACACACAAAAAAGAATAGCTCTATTTTATTTTCAGTGTCGATAAGTTTCATCAGTACTAAGAAGATATACATATATTATACTTTGTATTCTTAAAAAAAATATATAACATACTTTATATAATAATATATATAATAAAATAATAAAAAGCTTCATATATTATAACATTTTTTATCAGTAATAAAACAGGCTACTCTTTTTCACATTCCATTTGTGCCTTACATCCCGCTTAGAAATACTATGATTGAGCTGAGTTTGTCGAATAATATCTCCAGATTCTCGATATTGTAATATCAGAGGAAGTATCGCTAACAGGATGCGGTTCGCACTCTCACTTTATCCCTCAGGTAATTGGCGACTTGCGTCTGCGAATGTCGGACGGCCAGTTGAAGCGGCGTTATGCCTTCCTGATTTACGAGTAAAGGATCAGCCCCCGCTCCCACGAGCTGCCTCGCGACCGTCATGTGTCCCGTCAACGCTGCCGCATGTAATGCACTTTCGCCGTTCTGAAATCGTAAAGAAACCCAACAGTTACTTGGGCATAAAAAATTACACACATAGAATTTATATACAGGGTGTTTCCAAATTAAATGGCAAAACTTCGGGAGCGTGTAGAGGAGTAAAAAACTAAGAAAAAAAGTCCTATAGACATATGCTCCTTTTTGCTTTGTTTCGCAGGAAATCACGAAAAAAGAAAAAAATATATTTAATTTATTATTTTAATTATTTTATTTATAAACTTTTTAATGAAGATTTTGTTCGAAATGTGCACCTCTTGCAGCAATACAA